AATACTGTTCCATAAAAAAAAAATGGATTAGCGTAGGCCGCGATTCCACAGCTTGGTTTGTATTTCTGCTCAGTGAATATCGTATCGTGTTGGCAATGAATAAAGATTAAAATTAACTGACAATGACAAATTATGTTTCAAATCACAGCCAATTTTAGTTTTTTATTTTGTTCCTACAGTGGCTTTACACAATTCGGTTAACCCATTTTCTTGGGGACGTAATTTTTTCAAATCTAAAAATGATTTATGTTATCTAAATCTATATTTATATTAATATTATCTAACGATTTACATGCTTACGATAAGCTTAAACCCTTTGCAAGATTTCAGAGCAGCCGGTTTTGTAGTTTCATAATAATTAAACTGTAAAATGTTATTATACTGTTTTGTCTTTTTTTCCAAAAATGTGGGTATCACAATATTTCCATATACATATTTTGTTCCTCAAAAACGAAGCTGTTCTACTCCTGCTACGGATAGCCAAAAATAAACAATATAATAATAAACAAAAACAGAAAAAAATGAATGTGTTCAAAATAAATATAAGATTTTTTTTAAGGTTAAGGTCATTGTTTGGTATTATTCAAAGTACTTAATTATCATGAAGTTTAATAGTAGATATGATCCTAAAACTCGTTATAAATCCGAATTTCAGATCGGTCTAAATTCTTTTATTTTTTCCCGATTTTTTCATCATTCCTGGTGTGGTATTTTTTTTTATTTTGACCATGATAAATCATCTCTCATATCTGGGATCGCAGCTTTCAGAAAACTGATCTCTTTACAAATTCGAACCTCCAGTACAAATATTCGCTTTCAGGAAAAGTCTTCGGGGCCCCCTGTTTTTTTTTTGGAATTTTTGAGATGTCTATCCTTCCGAAAAATAACACCCTCCGATATATTCGTCCCTCGAATCTAAACGAATCCACAATCCGGCTTTCAAGTTTTTTCGAATCCGAAAAATTGGCAATTTTGGATGGAATTGAAGAAGTAGAGATAGTAAATGATACAAATGAATTCATCGATGAAAAATTAGTTCGAAATCAGAATTTCAGATAAATCTAAAGATTTTCATTTTTTCTCATTGTAAAATTTTCTAATGTCCACTGCGATTATCTTGCATATCCGAGATCTCAGCCTCCTGAAAACTTATCTCTTTAGTAAGTCCAACTGCCGGAACAATAATCCGGGCTCAAAATGTTCTTCGCAACCTCCTGATTTTTTTGGATTTTTTTATTTGTCTACCCTGGCATATTCTTCTCGCGAAACTGAACGAATCAAGAATCCGGCTTGAAACTCAACCAATGCGACTAAAAAATTGCAACGGATCGATGAATCCGAAGCTTGAAATGCTACGTTTGTCCATTTAAGAATTATGATACTCTAAACTCAAAAAACGTTTTTTCGGACCTAGAAAATGATGAAGTGGGAACAGACGAATTCAGCGGTTCAAATTTGGTTATACACCGGAATTTCAGATTGATCTAAAGATTTTCGTTTTTATTTTTCTTCATTCCTTGTATTGAAAAATTTTCAAATGTAGACCATGTGAGATTATCTCGCATATCTATTACCACAGCCATATGAAATCTAGTCTTGAAAACAATTCGAACCTCCGGAACAATAATCCGATCTTAGAAAAGGTCTTCGAAGCGTCCTGATTTTTTTGAATTTTCTACTTTTTTGAAAAATCACACCGCCCGATATGTTCGTCTCTCCAACCTACACGAATCCGGGATTCGACTTGAAAATTAACCAACGCGATTAAAAAATTCCAAGGAATTGATTGAGGTGAAGCTCGAAAAATGGCGTCTTTTCGTTCCGCAGCTAAGATAAGATTGAACAATATTCGGAGTAGTCACTAGAATGAAGAGGAGGGTGGATGGGCGGGGCTATTGTTTTAATTTTTCTTTTATAATAAAAGATACATCTTAAAATATATAGTATAACAAAAAAATTACGGTTAATCCTTTTTTTGTTTAACAACTCAATTACTACAGAACAATATATATATATTATTATAGATAAAATGAATCACTGAAAAGGAGGTGGGGTGGGTGGGCGGGGTTTTATATAAGTTTCCTGAAAACTGGTGATTTTACTAATTCAATCCTCCGGAATCAGAATCCGGACCCAGAAAAAATCTGCAGAGCCTCGTGATTTTTTTAGAATTTTTGAGCTGTCTGCCTTTCCGGAAAATGACGTCACAAATATATTCGTCTCTCGAAACTAAACGAATCGAGAATCGGGTTTGAAAATCAACGAATGTGGCTGAAAAATTGCAAGGAATCGATTGGACCAAAACTCCAAAACGTTTTTTCGAACACGGAAAATCTGCGATTCCGGGTGAAATGGAAGGAGTGGCGACCACTTAATATTAGCACCAATGAATTCAGCGATGCAAAGTTAGTTAAAAACCCGAATTTCAGATGGATCTAAAGGCTTTCATTTTTTCTGGATTTTTTTCATCATTCGTGCCAAAAAAAAATCTAATTTTGACTATGTTAAATTATCTCAAATATGCAGAATCGCAGCTTCCTGAAAACTTGTCTTTTTACTAACTCGAACCTCCGGGATCAGAATCAGGGTTCGGAAAAGGTCTTCAGAGCCTCCTGAGTTTTTTGGAGTTTTTGAGTTATCTACCTTTTCGGAAAATGGCACTTCAGATATATTTGTCTCTCGAACCTAAACAAATTCAGAATCCTGCTTGAAAATCAACCAATGCGACTAAAAAATTTCAAGGAATGATTAGGGTAAGCTTGAAGTACTACATCTTTTCGTTCCGTAGCTATGAACCCCTAAACTCAAAAAACATATTTTTCAGGGGCGGAAAATCCGCAATTTCGGGTGAAATTCAAGAAGTGTCGAGCAACAAATAACACAAATGAATTCATGGGTGAAAAATAAGTTCTTTGTGTCGTAAAATTTTCTAATATCTTGCATATCCGAAAAAAAAACTCCTGGAACAAGAATCCGGGCTTACAAAAGATCTTCGATCAATATATTCGTCTCTTGAAACTAAACGAATCGAATCGAGAATACGGCTCGAAAATCAACCAGTGCCATTAAAAAATTACAACGAATCGATTACTCTTTAAGGCTAAAAACACTACGTCCTCCCGTTCCGGAGCTATCTAAACTCGAAAACTTTTTTCTGGTCCGGAAAATACGTTCTTGAATATTTGATAAAAATTTGTTAAGCTGTTCAATTTTCAAACATTTTAGTTTGACAAGGTATTCAGAAACTCGATAATATTTATTAATTCCGGAATAAAACCTGCCGCAGTTTAAATCTTTTGCAAGCTATACTCATCAAACTGCTTAAATGAAACATATTAGTTAATAATAACGATAATCAAAAACGTAAAAAAAAAGATTTTTCTTTAAAAAAATTTAAAATCCATTAATATTTTAATTAAGAAGTTTAACATTTTTTAATATGTTTAATATGTGGGTTCAAAATTTAAAATCATTATCAAAATGATTCTAAGCTTAGTCTATTTTTTATTGTTTAATAATAGTAAGTATAATAATATAATAAGTAGCTCACGATATAAGTTGTTAAACTATAGCCATTAATTATTTATTGTTTTATCATTTCTAAACCTGTCCTAAATAAAATAAATAGTATGTTCATTAAGTTTTTGCCTGTATGATGATCACCTCATTAACATCAAAATGTGACTCTAACTACTCATTAAATAGATTTTTCGCTTCGCCGTTAGGGTTTACCAATAATCAGATAACTGACCTTATTAAGACTGTTGACATAATTAAATTTTAATCTCATTAAATGTGCGTAAGTAATGATTTTCCTAAATATTTGCAGGAAGTGTGAAACCTGATTTATAGATCAATAAAATTAATGCCTTTAAATTACGATATCCTTATCAAGTACCTTTACATTAAGACTGATTCATGTGCAACACTGACCATACCTGCCACTGGCCTTACAAATCATATTAGAATTTTGCATGCCGACAGAGCGCAATTTTCCACACCGCTTTTAATCCGATTAATACAATTAACTGATAATAAAAAGTGGAGGCAATTAAATACAAAAAAACGCAATGTAAACTTGATAGAAACCACATAACGGCTGTATTTGTCTTGCATGACCTTACCTGCACTTACAAACTCCCCATAAATAATTCATAATATCACTATGTTTTATTAATACCATCAAATAGTATCCTTCGCTTAGACTTTCATGTTTATCTTAGATCAGATGCATTCATTACCCATGCTGATTGGTGCAAAAATGATAAAAAGCGCATCTCCTGGGTTTAAAAATGCAGCATAAAACAGGCGCCGCCATAAAAGTCCATTGCCGTAGAAACGACGCGGGCGTATGATCGGTCATAAAACATCATCTTGACTTGTTTATTCCTACAGGAAACTTGGTCGTATCACACGGAATAATATCTCTAATTTTTACGACTACATTATTTGAATATCGCACTTTCTCACGTAGCGCATCCAATTAAGTTTTTGCGTTGTTTCCTACGCTAGATAGCACCTCCGATCACCAAAATAGCCATCAAAGTGGTGAAATTGCCGCTGCAATTAATGCCCCATTAGACTGGTTTGTGTCGTAAATTACGGTTGAGGTTTGGTCGATTGCACACGTCATTGTCTAGGTTTTCCTTGGTGTAATTTCACAAAAATGTTATTTAAGGAATTATTGCTGAGCGTTATGGCGTCATAAAGGACGTTAATGACTTTCATCGTTAATAAAAGTCGGGTTTGAGGTTGTAGCACCATTAATTAGCGGCTGGTTAATTATTATTATTGTTTATTGAACGGTGCTGCGGCGCTGAAGCGCTATGGGACAACAAAGGGTTTTACGAGCTCAGGGGAATCGTCGGTGGTGCTTTAAATTAAACATCTTCGATTTTTTGAATTCTTATTAAACGTTTTTACTAATTAATGTTGGGTATAAAATCAACCGAAAAGGATGTTCTTTTTATATTTCTTGAAATTCGTTATTTTTGCTGCAGACTTAAACTCGGATTACTTGGATATGTCCTTCGGTCGTTCACCTGGTACTCCTGGTATGCATGGCTCCAATCAAAGGACGAAAAGGATGCGGACGTCTTTCAAACATCATCAGCTGCGTACGATGAAATCCTACTTTGCAATAAATCATAATCCAGATGCCAAGGATTTAAAGCAATTATCTCAGAAGACTGGCTTGCCCAAAAGGGTACTACAGGTAATTTTCTTTTTATTTTTTAATAATACATACAAAACTTCAAAAAATATGTAAAAATACTTATACCAATGCAGTTTCGACAGTCAAAATATCAAAATAAAAAATTACACATTCCAGACCCCAACAAAGCATTAGTTATTAGTAACAATTAGTTTAAGTTATAACTCGATCACAAATTGCCTTGATCACACGATATTAGTAAGAAAACCACAAAGGAGTAGCTCTTGAATAATTAATTTGACAACTGAAAGCACACCTTGCACTGTTGTACAGTTTTATGAGTATAAATATTTAGTTTTATATTAATAATGTAGGAGTGTAAAATAATAAATTCAGAAAATGAATTCTTAGATTAATTAACCGAATACGGAAAACATAAAATATATGATAAATGTAGAAAAAATTAAAAAGCCGCCTATTTTACTTATTTAAACAAACTACTTTGTTACTTTTTCTGTCTCGTTTTGATGGTCGTTTTTCTTTTGATTTTTTTTACTTTTCCGTTCTATCAAATATATATTACAATTTAAAATTATTTTCAAACACACAGGATGTTTCGTTAGAAAATTATCACTTTATTAAACGTAATCATTAATATTAATTAGACAGGATTTGCCTAGGCTAAATACAGTCAAACAAATCCAAAATGTTATACAATTTGGATATTTTACGAACGCCTAGGGAAAAGAATCAAAGCAGATTCATAAACTCCAAGTACAGGAATATGTTATTTTATAAAATTTAAACTGCATTCAAAATCTTGATATGACGTCATCATATTGTTGATGGAGATGATTAGATAATTTTTTACCATCTGCACGATATTTCTTAAGATACATGTAACATTTGCAAATGATTGATCCAATAATTTCGGAGATTATGTCTTATAAAAATCAATACAGATGACAGCCAGACTGACACGAAGAGATCTTCAAACGTTGAGAAAACATGAAAGTGGTTATTCGCCGTAGCTACGCCCGCGAAGTAGATAAAAAGGAACATAGGGAAGTAGATACAAGGTTTTTTTACAACAAAAATTGAATAGAATTTCAACTTTTGCAAATTTTCTCTTATTATTCAAATAAAACATTCTATATTTAATGAGATTTTCGAGGTTATCTCTAAATAAGCTTTCTTTTAATACCAGAGTTGCTGAGGTCTGTCGATATTTATTATCTCCGAAATTAGACTGATTGTTGTAAAATTTTATCTACGGATATTTTAGGAAAATCATTTTGATGGTAAAACGCCAACCAAAAAATTGGTTTGCACATCCCCATCAACAATTTGATGACGTCATTTCAAAATTTTGCATTGTAAAAGATATTTAAATTTTGTAAAATCACATACTTCTGTACTTGTGTTTTATGAATCCGTCCTGATTTTTTATCTTAAGTACAAATCTTCGTAGAAAAAAATCAAAATTATATAATTATATTTTACAATTTAGAAACCGAATGTTCAGAAGTCTTCCAAATGCTTTTGGGTTATCATGAGCCTAGTAAATCGTATTTTTTTTTTATTATTAAAAATTGTTTCATAAATTATATTTATACAGTTTCTATAATATAAGAAGGAAGCTGCGCTCAAGTTGGTTAGAGCGTCATCTTAATAATGCGTAGGCGCCGGTTCGATTCCCTCGTGGGTCACCTTTCTTACACTGACAGGTATTATCACTTTTTTTCTGTAAAAACTGAATTTGTTAGATTGTGAGGCGAGGAAAGTTCTGTTAGACCTTTTCTTTAGATTCTGATCTAGTCACCCACAAATTTGTTGAAAAAACAGTAGGTGACTTGACTTGTTTATTCTAAGAGACGACCTAAGTAATTTGGTAAAATAATGGGCAGCGAAAACTGGATCACAATTAATTTTACTTGCTGAGCGTAAGATAAGAAAGTCCATCGGGCGACTGCCTACTTTTATATTTTCTCGACGTTTTATGGCCCTTAGAGTACGAGAAAATTGGTTTACGTCTGCCTGTTTCGCGTTTGTCCAGATTTTATGTGTAGATTAGGGGTATCGTGTGGGTGGTAAAACACTAACCAAAATTTGCCTACCTATCCCTACCAATAATATGATGACATCCCTCAAAATTTTTCATAGCAAGTAAGATTTAAATTTTATAAAATAATATACTTGTTTTTTATGAATCCGCCTTGAAATTTTCTCCAAACTTTTGCAAAAAATCAGTTGTATCAGTAGCAATAGTATATACTATTACAAAAGGCGTTCCTACAAGGGTATTCGTTGGCTTATCTCGAAAACTGTTACACTATTATTATTATCTATATTTTTTTACATATTATGTGTCCTTTCTGAAATAATCTCGATCGAAACGTTTTCAAATAGGAAAACTAACTAGAAATACACGCATAGCCTTATCCTTTATAAATACGTCCATACTAAGGTTGTGTGGTCCTTTGAGGACCCTACACTAAAATTATTTTCAACTATACAGAGTGTTCTGTTTTTATGACACAAAACTTAGTTGTCCAAATAGAATACAATAGAATATATTTTTACGTATTTTGATTGATCTCTTCTTAGGCTTTATAATCATGCGGTATTTTAGAAATTCCGTGCGACGTTGCCAGGTTAATGTTTTTTTTTAATCTTCTTAGGAATGAAAGGGTTGAAAAAATCTTAATAGGGTTACTCCGAAAATTTCTCCTACAAAATTTTGTGGGGAGATAAATAAAGATACGCCCTTTGGTCTAAATAACATTGAGTCTTATTATACAGTGTGTCCAAAGAAACGAATAATTACAATTTTCCAATATCTGTTATCTATTATTCTGTTTTGTGTTCTCATTCCTTTTTGTTAAGTATTTTCTATGTGTAAAGTTGATAATTATTGATTTTTGGTTTTTTCAAGAGACACACTAACAATGACAAAAAGAGAACAAGAAATAGAGTAAGACGTAGTAATAAAGTACAGTCTCTTTGAAAAAACTGAAAGATCAATATTTGAAAACTAACATTTTAGATTTTTTTATAAACACTCTGTATATAAAATTTTGGTTTTGTTATCACCACAGAAAGTGTATCTCTGATTGTCTCCCCATAAAATATTGCAACACATGTCTTAAAGATAACATTAGGTATAGAAAATTTCGTAATTTTAAGAAATAAACTAGACATGGTTATAATCCTAGGAAAACGTTAAATGAAGATATATAAATGTATAATGTATAGGGCGTTCTATGTAAAAAACTTGTGTGTTATGACTCTCTGTATTCGTAGCGAGTCACCCTGTATATAATATTTTCACCACAAATTGCTGAGCACTTACTTATTTAGACTTCAAACTGTTAATTAAATCAACAATATAAAAATTGTGAAATTAATTACAAAGATATTCCCTCATCTCTAAAGCACAACAAATACCTTAAATGGGGGTGCACTTTTTAGCAAAAGTTTTAGATGATGATACCGTCCCCTTTTACTAGCGATTAATACATTAATTCTGATGCATGCAATGTAACACTAATTATAACGTAATTATATTAATAAAATTTTAAGAAAATTACTTATACATATGACATAATTGAGATAGGTAATCACTTAATTTTTTTAAAATAGTAAACTTTATTTAAATTTTATAAAATAAGACACTCCTGTACTTGTGGTTTATGAATCTGTCTTGAGTTTTTACCCTGCACATCCAAATTTTTTGAAAACGAATCAAATTTTGCAATTTAACTTAGAAACTACAAAACTAAATGCTCTGAAATAGTGTAAATGTTTTAGGGTTATGGTAAGCATGGTAAACCGTTGATCAGAATTTATTCTTTTATCCCCTCCAAAAAATTGATAACGTCATCTCAAAATTAAAGCCTATAGGCACAATATTTTTTGAGAATTATTTATACAGAGTGAGCAAACAATAATGAACCAGGCTATTCTATTAATCAAATTAAGAACGGCTTACCCATTATTAATATTACTAGTTGATGAAGTTGATTACTAGTTTTGCTATGGAAAATGAAATATTTCTTTCTATTTACATCTTTACCTGTACTATAAGAGTCCTATCTTTATTTTAACTATATAATAATATAATAAAACATATAAATAAATAAAATTCGAAAAATTAAATTTTATAAAATTTCAAAGAATCTGAATTTGGAAGAAGGAAGTTCTGTCTAAATAACTTTGGACCAATTTTTTTAAACAGTTATGGTCAAACATATATTTCACTAAACTGTAAGCAAATCCATTTTTAGAATAAACATCTACATATTTATATTATAATGAAGTTAAATTTATTTATTTTAGTGAGTAACTGTAATCATAATGTTATTTTTTTTCAAAATTTTCAACAAATTAGAAATCAATTTATTTGTGATATAGTCTGTCCACAAAATTTCACAAACACTTTTGCAATGACAATAAAAAAACACAGCTGAAATACAAACTAGGCCGCCTTTTTGAATTTTTAGTACTCACTAAATCAGTTTTAGTGTCCTACTCAGTTTTTAAAGAAATTATTAAAAGTTATAAAATTTATTTATAATTTTTTTTGAGTAACCATGTATAAGATGCCGTTATCAATTTTTAGATAGGTTCGGTGGAAAAATGTTTGTATCATTTTGCTACTTTCATGAAAACTCTAACATTCCAGTGAATTTCATGCTACCTGGTTCCATATTTCAAAAGAATAATTCAAATAATTCAAAACATTTTAGCCATATAGAAAGGAGAAAGCTAGATTTTTATAAAATCTAACATTCGTCGAAATGTCTTAAACAACGTCCATAAATAGTTCCTTTCACTAAATCAGTCAGTTGTGCATAATAAAAGTAATAAAAGTGTCAGGACCGACTTTAGGCACTTTTAGGGAAATGGAAGTGATTATCATTGCCATCATGGTAGTTCAACATCGTTCATGCATCAAAAACTTAACAGAAGTTTAAAGAATTATTATCAAAACCATAATATTTTAGTTTCATATAGTTGTTTGCTAATAGACGAAAATATCAAACAATTTCCAAAGGGTT